TCTGTGGGGTTTGGATCAAAGTACTCTGGTGATGTTTTCCCAACCTCAATTTTCCTGAATACACCTCATGTCATTCTCTCTCTCTCTCTCTTATTCCCTTTCTTCAATTCAACTTCTTTCAGAGGCTCTTCATTGTTCTCCTCACAGGTCTTCAGTGGAGACTTGTGCCCTGTTTTTTTCCACTCTTGCATGCTTTTTCTCTCTGCCCTTTCCCTACAAAATTGCTACTCTGTTGTTGGAATCTCTGGATCAGGGGGACCTTTTGCACCCCAACCTCTTTATGGAACTTGAGCATGGCTCCCTTTTTAAGGCAAGATATCTTTGAGAGTCTTCCTGACTCTTTAGAGACCAGAGTCAAGTCTGCATGTTTGCACACCACCCTTTCCAAATTGGCTTATCATTTGGCTCACCTTTTTCTTGAACCTGTTCCTGTGTTACTTCCCATTCCTTCCTCTACTTTACCAGTGCCTGCTACATGGGTCTCTGAGGTTAACTGTATTCATTTGTTAATGGTTTCAGTGCCTCAATGACTTCATGGTGGGTACAGGTGCGGTGGAGGCCAGTCTTTTGTGATTTGCAACCATTTGGGGGACCTTCACCACAGAAACTTGGGTTGTGGGGGTTCTTTTGAAAATGCTCTTTCTTTGCTTCAGTTCTCCTCATCCCATATCCTTCCCCCTCCTCTGCATCTCAGTTCTAACCAGTATCTTTCTTAAGTAATTCTATATTTCCTTCACAAGGGCATTATAGAACAGATTTCTATTCCCATTTGTCTGTAGTCCTCAAGAAGACTGGTGCCCATCATTAATCTCTCTTCCTTGAACTACTTCCTAAACCTTCTTCGATTTATCACTTCAATGGGCTATCACTCATGGTCTTTGAACGATGAAGTTAGATGGCTTAGATGCTTACCACCACATTCCCATCTCCCCAGCATCCTGGTGCTTTCTTTGTTTTGTTCATCGTGGTTGTGTCTACCAGATCAGGCAACCTTTGGTTCCCTACATTTATAGTCAGGTTGTCAAGGCCTTTGCCCATCTTCTTCATTACATATGCCTTTGTTTCCACCATTATATAGACAAGTGACTGCTTCTACCTCTGTCACATGCCACCTTGTCCCTTCACACTTTGTTTATTCTTTAACAAGCTGCATGGGTAGGTTGGCTGGTCAAGGTGGCACAGTCATTCATCTCCCTCAATCAATACCTTGTTCCTCTCGTGGTATTTTTCAACTTCCATCTCAGCCGGGCCAACCCTTCTCCCCTTTGCTTGCAATCTGTGGAGCTTTTGGTTTGGACCATTTCTTCCTCTCTTTCTCCAAGTGTGCAAGAGGTTCTATCACTTTTTAAGAAATGAGTTTTTTGGAGACCGCAATTCCTCTCAGTCGAGTCCACATGTGACCTATTCAGTGGACTTTACAAGATCAGTGGAACCTCCTTTGAGATCCCTTGGTTGCTCCTGTACATCTCCCTCCTCCTTTTCATATAGTCTTCACCTGGTGGTTGGGCAGAGATAACATCACTATGGATGTTCCTCCTCCTCATCCAGAGGTGCACCTCTTGATGGATGCTTCTTTTTCAGGTTGGGGTGTGAATCTGGATATGCAGGAGAATTCAGGCCATTTGTCTATTTCTGAGTCATCTCTGCATATCAACCTCTTGGAAATATTTGCTGTCTATCAGGTTTTGGTTCACTTTCTTCTATCTCTCTAGAATTGGTCAGTTATGATCCATTCCAACAACTCAACAGTTGTCTCATACATCACTTGGCAAGAGAGCACTCAGTCAAAGTCTTATTGTTTCCACATGTTGGACCTCCTGTTTTGGTCCCACAGCCATCACATTTGCTTGTTAGCATGTTGTATACTGGGTGCCCTGAATCTGGTCATGGATCATTGATTGGTCCTCAACAAGATTGTCCCAATGGTGTGGTCCCTTGACCCACATGTGTTCAGCTGGCTATGCTACCAGTGAGGTACTCTATAACTGGATGCATTTGGCACCTACCTGAACTCCATGCTTCTCCAGATTTGGTCTCCAATTCCACATCCTTTTGTCATAGCTGTCGATACCCTCAGTCAGAATTGGGGGCCTTTACCTCCATGCCTAACCCCATCTCTCTTTTTCCTTGTGTCCTCTCCATCATCCAAGCCATTCTGTATCATGTTCTCTTGGTGGCACCACTTTGGCTAGTGCAGCCGAAATTTCCACTTCTGCACCAGCTCCTATTGACACCTTCTCTTCCCCTCTCACCTACCCTCTCTAGACAACCTGAATCAGGCATGCTACATCTTTCCATTCCAATACTCCATCTTCATATGTGGCTTTTGTCTGGTCCCTTGCCAAATGAGCTAGAATTTCCCCACGGGTTGCTTCCCTAATTTCCCATTCCATTTCCCCTTCCTCCATGTCAGTTTACCATTGTAAATGGTATGTCTACTGCCATTGGTCTTCTCGTTCGTGGTTTTCCTCCACCTCATCCTACTCTCCTTCATTTGACTTCCTTCCTTACCTGGCAAGGGGCTTTTGCTGTCCACCATTGTTAGTTATTGTGTCACCTTGTCAGCCATTTTTGGTTTTACAAGATTTTGGCATGTCTTCACTCCTCCAGTTCTAATCATATTGTTTCATTCCTCTGTTTTTCTCATCCCCCCCATGGGATTCTATTCCTTACATCATCTCTCCTTAAAGTACTCTTTCCTCCTGCTGTTAGCATGTGGCTGTTGATGTTCAAATATGCTCATTCTTGATGTCTCTCTCACATTATATCACAGGACCTATGTCATTCTCTACATAGATTGGTCTTTTCTGCTCAAAACTTCAGCTGCTAGTGAGGGCAGTTTTGCCTTCTCTCACATTTTCTTCCCTTTCATTTCTCACCTTTATGATCATTCTGATCTAGATCACCTCTTGTGTCCTGTCCAGGATCTCTGCTGTTACATGGCTCATGCTGCTCTCTTCCATGGTTCCTGTTCCCATTTTTTCATTCATTTGAACCCTTCCCTTTTCCATGATGTTTCTCCTATTACTCTTACAGGTTGGATTTGCCAACTTATTTGCCTAGTTTATTCTTACCTGTCTCCTGATGATGGTTATTTATTCCAAGTCTCCTCCTGTCAAATCCACCATATTAGCATGTTTCTAGCTGCTTGATTCCATAGTCCATTAAAGGATATAGTTCGTGCTGACACGTGGAGAACTCTCCATACATTTATTTCACGTTATCTTCATCATCTGGCCACTTCCTGTTCTATGTCCTGTTGCCATCTTGAACTCTACAGTTTTTCTATGAGTTTTTCTATCCCACTGATAGGTGAATGTTGCCTGACCAGGTATTCTTATTCTTAAACCCATACTATATGACCATTTTGGTCAATAATGCCCACCATTGAAATGGGTAGTTCTGCAAGACCACTTCTAAGTTTTTCTTGTGGTATTTTGAATCATAAATATGTTTGTCCTGGACCATACACTGATGGACTAACATAAGTAAAGCAGAAGGAGATTGCTGCCCATCCCTACTGCTCCTTCAGTTGACTGTATCAGGAACAGTTTGCTTATCCAAATAGGGTTTCCCAGTCACCTGTTGCATTGTCTCTGGTCCTGGGTTCCTCCAGATTTTCCAACATGTATTTCCCCCTTTTTTCTAGTGGAGCATGGAAATTCTTGTTACTTATAAGTTTCTAGCCACTGGTGTGGTAGACCATTGAGACTTCCTCCTGAGTGTGCTCAATTCTATACAGTTCTAAGTATGATGATGGTGTTCTGCTGGTGTATATGGTGTGTAGACACTCCTACCATGGACCTAATGCTCTTTTCTGGATGCTGCCTTGTTGTGAACTAGATAACTTCCACCAAAATGCAGTTCAACCCTCCAGCTGGGCACACTCTTTCTACAGTCACCCAGATATCAGTTCCCCATGTGTTCTGGTGTTGGTTGGAGCTGGACCACATGTGAGTAACCCAGGTACCCTACACATCACTGTCCACTTTCCTACTGTTGTCCAGATGTCAATTTCTGGGGGTACTGGTTTGGGTTGTGTTGGACATGCACACATGATTTTGCAGGTCCTTCAAATGGAAGATCATCTTTTCTTCCAGTTCCCATGTCCAAGATGAACAGTAGAGGACCCTCTTCCTATTGTGGGTAGTATACTCTTTCATGGTACTGGTAGTGTTGGTTGAAGTTCAATTCCCCTTATGATCTGCTGCACCCTATCCACTCTACACCAGGGGTCCCTCCTATGATTCCATCCTTATTGCAACACGTCTTTTTCATGGGTGAAGAGTATACCTGGCTCAGAAGTGGTGCAGTCTTCTATGGGTGTGTTTTACATACTCTTTATTCACACACCCCATGGGCTTCCTTTGAACACTTCCTGAAGGGAACTCATCTACATAGTTACTCTGGTCCCTTCACCAGGGCAGTGTGGGATTCTAGTTATTCTGTGAGAGAAGGTAAAATATTGTATAGGAAGTTAACATTTTCCTACACTGAAAATGTATTCTCGATAGATACCACCTCTCGCTCTTCTCACCCTTCCTCCCAACTTCTGTTGTATTTTCCTTTTCTGTTGCTCAAGCTCGAAGTAAAATTGGGCTAAGCTGCATAGAGAGAGTAAGCTGTGCTAGGAGTTGTGTTGCACTCCTATTGGTAGAAGGTTGTCACATGCTCTTTTGCATGCTATCACCCAGCTGCCTCACAGGAAATCATGAGATAGGGTGGGAGTGGGTATCTGTTGATATTGGAAGAAAAAGGTGTGTAATTCTTTAAACATCAAAAGTCCTTTTTCAAATTTTTTATGCATGAATGAAATGCTTAAAAATTATGTGTGTACAGAACTCTTATAAACATTAGTAAAATCATGACCTATATCACTCCAGATTGTATTAAATAAAGTTAAGAATAGTATAGAATACTTATTACAATACACATACATATTAACAAGGACACACTGAAATAATATATATCTGCAATGAATGTTAAACTCCCCTTTGTAGGTAAGGAAAGTGGAGTACAAAGATCCTATGGAAGAAGAATGGGAGAAGTTTCAAAAGACTATTGCTGCAGAAACAAATGTAAGTGTTCATAACAATTTTTAATGTGTCATTACATCTAGGATTCAGTTTTCCACTTACTGTTCATGTATTTTAAAAATTCAAGGAGGGGGTGAATCAAAAAAATGCAAGTACAGTGACAGCTATATAGACTTTGGTTTCACTTTTGTTAAAGATAAAAATGCTCCTGGTGGAAAGTGTGTTGATTCAAGCTCTTGAATCTAACCTAGTTATGGAGCCATTTAATAGGAAAACATAGTGACTATTTCAAAAGGAAGCATGATGAATTATGAAAGAATGGTACTTCACTGAATAAATTTGTTTGCATAAATATGCTTGAAGCGTCATACCAAGTCAGCTTATTGCTATGGCTTGTGAAGTAAGTGCATACACTTATCAATAGGAGTGTTGTTATATAATTATACAGTTGATTATTATCAATAGGAGTCTTCTTATATAATTATACAGTTGATTGTTATGAATAGCAGTCTTCTTATAGAATTATACAGTTGATTGTCATGAATTGGACAGATGAAAAGTCTAGTAAGATCATAGATACTCTCCTTTTCTTGAACAATACAGTTTCTCATCACATCAAAGCTATGGTTAACCAGTGTAAAACAAAGCTAGTTCATTGTCTGGAGGGCACTCATGTAGGTTTCACTATTGAACTTGATGTATCTACTAAAGTTGAAAGATTAGGTGTATTGCTTGTGTTTGTTCACTACATTTTTAAATTATCTGTAATTGAGGATTTGTTGTGCCAACCTCTTGAAACAATTACAAAAGTTAAGGCTATACTTAGAATCTGGAATAATTTTATAGAAAAATATGATTAAGTGGGACCTTTGCAGTGATGTTTGTACTGACAGTGCAAAAGCTATAACAAGAAAAGTCAAAGGTATGGTGACTCTCATCATAAACATTGCACTGAAAGTCAGAACTAGGTATTGTTGTCTTCATTGACAAGCTCTCACAGTGAAACTCATGCCAGAAGACCTCAAAGCTGTACTTGATGAAGTTATGAAAACTGTGAACTTTATTAAAGCCAGATCTCTTGAGTGTTTACAGTTTTATGCAAGGAGATGGGTACTACACACATTGGTCTATTGTTACACACTGAAGTTTGCTGGCTGTCATACAACATAGCACTTTGTCATGTTTGTGAATTATAAGACAAGATTTGACTCATTCTGAAATATAACAAGTTTGCCCTTTCATCAAGTTTAATGATACTATATGAATTGAAACATTAACCTACCTTGCAAACATATTTTTGAGATTTAATTATGTAAACTTGTCTCTTCAAGGCATAAACATTAACATTTTAATGTTCAAGACAAAATAGAGTTGTTTCTACTGATATTGAACTGGATGAAAGCACAAAATGCTGTATAATTCAGCACCTGGAAGATTTAAACAAAACTGTGAGAGAATATTTCCCAAAACTAATGACCTTTTTACATGGCTGCATAATCCTTTCTATGATTCAGTAAATGTCAACGAGCAAAATCTGTCCATGAAAGAACAAGGAAACTGATTGATATTTCAACAGGCCTCAGCCTAAAAATTACTTTTTAAATGAATTTTTGAATCAAACTCTTAAATCAATATCCTGAATTTACAAAAATGAGCTATAAAACATTTTATACCCTTTGCTATAACCTACATGTGTGAGGCCAGCTTCTCACAATATATTGCTACAAAAAATAAGTATAGTATGAAATTAGATGCACCACCTATAATTGTCAACTAACATCACAAACTTTCAAGAGTACTGTGTAGGGAAACAAGCCCACTCATCACACTGACAGAAGTGTCATTATTCTTTTATAGTCTTGTATAAATCTTTTTTTTTTATGACGTGCTGTCTTCAATAATTCTATGATAGAATGACAGAATATATATATATATATATATATATTCACAGTGAAATGCATGCTATAAGACCTCAAAGTTGTATTTGATGAAATAGTGAAGACTGCATATGTGTGTGTGTGTATATATGTGCAAAAGGGTTCTAGCACTTGGGAAGGCTTGGGGACCACTGAGCTAAAGTCACAATTGTTCTTCTGTTTTCTGAATTCCTGATGAACATCAAACCTGTACATTCTCTGGCTAACTAAGGCAGTCTGTATTGATTTTTTTTGTGGTGGGTGTTACAGCTAATGTTTTTCTCTGACTACTGTTTGTGTGTCATTTAAAGTTATAGCTATCCTTTATCTGTACTGCAAGTACGTTTACAATGAATCCATTAGTGAATCAGTCAAAACTTAGGATTGACTTCTTGTATTATTGCTTGTAAGGTTGTTCACAGACATTAACAAAAAATTAACTTAATGGTTTTTATTATACAGGTATCGCAGGCTATTATAGAAGAAGATTTAGAGGAGAGTAAAGTTGAAAGAGAGATTGATGAGATTGATGAACAAATGTAAGAAGTTTTTCTTACTGAAAACATTGTTATGTTATGATATAAAATGAACGTGTCAGAAATTTGTATTCTTGTGTGTACAATAATTGTGTGTGATACAAATCTGAAATTTTTAAATCACGATTTACATGTATCAGAAAATAAGTTGCAATAGTAAGAAAATTTATATACACCTCTAATCAATGAAAGCTGGGAAAGAGAATTCTATTTTTTTTTCTCTTGGTCTTCAAATTAAGAGTTATAGAGTAATTGAAACAAAATTGTCAGCAGTTTATGACATGAAATTAACAATATTCCAGGATATAATAAATGATAATAAAAAAATCAGATCTGTAAAAGTTGTAACTGTAGTACATCTATAAACAGATTGAAAGTATGTATAATTAAGGATAAAATATTTAACTTCCCAACTCATGGTAGTAATTACATTAAAACATCAAACTAAACAATTTAGAAAGCAGGCTGTTTTCATTAAATTGACTGAATTCTAGCTTCAAACTAGAAATATTTCTAAATAGTTGTAAAAAGCTCTACTTATTTTAGAATAGCTAGTGGTTTTCTGCCTTCTAAATTCCTCTTTGATAATGTGAAAAAAGAACAGTTGTATTAAATGACCATTTATGTAACATAATTAGTAGTTGTAAAGTATTAAAATGAATATTGTTGTACTGGACCAATTAAAACAGGCTGTGTAATTTGAATAACTAGTTTATTAGCCACTTGTACAAAATATTTCACTTTCCCAAACAATACCAGGCTTAGGCCTAACTACCCAGTTTTTAGGCTATATGATCAAGTTGTTTGTTTGATACTTGACTCTTGATTGACTCACTGAAGTGATTATAAGACTCCTAAAAGCTTCAACTGTGTTATACATCTAACTCTTAATCAAAACTGATTCCAAAACATAAAACTGATTACATATGTTTCACCAAAGATGCTAATACATACAGTTTACATCAAATTTTAACCAAATGACACTCCATGCATATAGTTCCTTCTCCCAAAAATCTTTTACAAAACAGATAATTGTAATATAATATTTTCAACAAGCAATATATAATATAATTCAGTTACATGTAAAACAAGATATAATTTCAATTGTTCACAACAATATGAATGATAAATTGGTATTCCAAATCTTTACCTCGTACACTAAAAACCAGAAGTTTTATACAAATCTGACCTTTTTTTATTTCACTGAATGAATATTTTGACCAGAATAATCCTGTTTATCTGACTCCTCCATTCTTGCCTCAGAATGATTAAGTTCTTTACTTGTAAGTGTTTGTTTTCTTCTTTCAGTTATAACTGGGAAAGGGTAGAGAAGTTACAAAAGAAAAAAGAAGAAATACTAAGAAATGAGCATAGTAAAGAAGACAACTCTGATGACAACAGTAGTGTAGATGAGCATGAATTTGATGAGTTCTTGGACTGGCGGTCAAAAGGAGTGTGGAAACTATAAAATTTGTATAAAGATAAAATTATTGAAAAAGTTGAATTTATGGATTTACAAGGAAGAAATCATAAAATGTGCCTCGATCAGAGGAAATATAATATTGTGTTCCTGAACACTAAAATATCACTAAGATGCTGTTTGAGAATGCTAAATTTTCATTCTTAAATTTCATTAATTAATTTCATGACTGTAGTGATCATAATCTTTGTAGCATTTTGTTTTGAAGAAGAAGGATTAATACTGCTTTTGACCATCTTCTATACATGTAATTTACTTTATAAATTTCATAAGTTCTTCACTTTACATTTTCATAAGAATTTAAAAAACAAAGATTAGAATGTCTCACATACCTTTGGCAACTCTGTACAATTTCTGCTCAGGCATTGCTTTAAACATATATTGTACTTTATATTGCTATAAATCATACATTCACAATACCATTATCATATGGAACAGTAGTTTGTATGTATTGTAGACATTCTCTGTTATGCCCACTTAATACATATTAAACAACTGTTGACTTTACAATAAACTGCTTAGTTAACCATAAAACTACAAACTAAATTATGGTTATATTAGTGTAATTTCTTTTACTTTTCAATCACAAAATAAAAAATAAGTTGAAGCATAACTTGTCATTGTTTGATTTCATAATTTTGAGTTGTTTTTTAATCAAACAACATAAAAATTCCTTTTTTCCAATATATATTAAATATCTTAAAATATCTTTGTCTATTTACTAATTTTATGTTTGTGGACCTATGGTTGAATTAGCAATGTACTTTTTCTATTTTATAAAAATAAACTTTCTTTTAATTATATTAAAAAATTGATATTCAGTTTGTGTTTATGCATGTAAAGAAAGTTTTATTTCCAACTAGAAGCTGTGTACTAAAGTTCCAAACTGAATCTCAGTGGTTCTTGTGTATGAGAAGTTGATTTTTAATATCCCTTTTCAGGATCATTTTATAATTGAAGCATATATCTTATGTCAAGTTGATGAGGCCTATTTTTGTAATCACGGAAATATTACTTTCATTTTAAATGGCTATACTTGTGATTTGACCTGGGAACATTGTGTTTAGATAAAATTCATCCACAAAGCATTGTTGTTTACATGGCAACGTGGCCTCAATACTAGTGATCCCCAGACAACCTAATTAGAAATACTCAGCTGCCATGGCAGTGCTTACAGCTTGATATAACCAAAGTTCCAAACCTTACAATTAAAACAGCATAAGCAGAGCTACATACAACTTTTCCCAACTACTCAAACCTGAATCTTGGTTTTTGGTAAAGGGTCTAGATGGATATGAAGTATTGATTCCATATAATTATTACAGATTCTTATTACTTAGAAAGTTCATCTGAAGATAGATAATGTTTATATAGTTAATTACAATTGTTTTAGATAGTAAAGATAAAAAAAAGATCAGTAAAAAACCTTATAAAATTTACATCTAGTAAATGTATAACAATTCTGTTGATGGTGGTTATAAGTGGCACATTACCTTAACATGAAATATCCTGTTAATTTTAGGTCATAACTTCCAAATTTAGAATGATAAATAGTCTATCATTTAATATAAAACTATCTTAAATGTGAGAGAAGGAAGATAAAATAGTTCTTTTTGAGAAGCTTGTTTAAGTACAGCTACTCTGATAAAACTGTTGTGGTATTTCACACTAGGTGAAATCACAAGTTGTTAGAGATGACACATTAACAGTGAGTTACGTCTGGGAAAGGTCTATGAAAAATTAGTCCTTGAAATTACCCAAAAAATTTACAGATAATATATTCTAGATATTTTGTGGCCTATTGTAAGCATGCCAAGGGTCTATGGTTTGTGTCCTATTACCACAAAAATGTGCTTTGAACGTTGAGGCCATAAATGCATTATAAGAATAATAGTGAAATCTCACTGTTTGATTAGAGTAGCCAAAGGGTTTGTGTTAGGTGCTTTTGACTATCTGCCATTTCTATAGTCTGGTTTATCAGCTCAAAATATGGGACAGTTAGCACAGATAGCCATTACATAGCTTTGTACAAATATCCAAAACAAAGATTTCATTTTTGTTTAATACATTTTTAAATTATAGAGGAGTTTTGGAATAGCAGTTTCAAGCAACTCAATGTGCATTAATATTGTATTAAGTAATTGAATCAAAGACATTTGAAATAAACAAGGTGAATTATCTTTCACTCTAATGAAATAATAATGACTTGTTCATTTGATCAGAAGTTCTTAACAATTATTTAGAATAGTCATAGCTTCTGTTGTTTGCAGTAAAAGTTAGTATTATGATGTAAAAAAAGTTTTGAGATTTAACCCATTGACTACTGATTCACCATATAGGGTACAGTTTGGCTCCAGCAGTTGAGTGCGAGTGTGTCATATATGATGTCCAGTTTGCAAAAACCTTGTGCATGTTTAGAGCATCTGCAGTCAATGGATTAAAGAACTGAATGCTATTTTGCTCTATTACAATATATAAATGTTCAATAAAGTTTATAAGTAAAAGGTATGAAATTATGTGATTTTTAAAAAAATTAATTTAATTTTCATAATATATTTTTATATAATTAATGTGTTCATATGCTATGACCAAGTATATTTTTGCAATTACTCAGTTCAGAGCAAAAAAATTACCCTTATGAAAAAACAAGATAGTAGTGCAGAAAATTACAATAAAGGAAACTAGGAATCCACGATGTTCACAGTTGAATTAACATGGCAGTCTAAGCTTGATTCTTTAGTTGTCATACATAATAATTAAAATCTTTGTTCTCTTGTTCATTGGATAACTTAGCTACATTGCTTTAGTAGCAGTATAGAATCTATTTTTTTCCTATTCATAATACCATTGGATTAGAATGACCTGATAGTGAGAATGCTCGACTTGCAACTTATGGGTCACAGGTTTAAATCATATCACTGTACATGCTCACACTTTCAGCCCTGGAGGAGTTATTGTGTGACTGTCGATCCCACTATTCAATTTAAGTGGCCCGAGAGTTGATGGTAGGTGATGTTGGCTAACTGCCTTCCCTATAGTTTATAACTTCCCAGTTAAAGATGGCTAGCACAGGTAGCCCTCAAATAGCTTTGCAGGAAATTCAGCAAACAAACAAACAAAGCTAGCTTTGTTGTACAAGAAGCATTACAAGTTAACAATAATTCACAGTTAAAATGAAATAATAACAAAATAATTTTTAGTGCTTTGTATCATTTTATTGTATGCAAATTTTTTTTTTTCATTTTGTTATTCTTGAATATCTCTGAATATTATAAAATTTCACTGAGAAGTCTAATACCTGTAAGATATTTATTTTTTATAAAAAGTAGATACTTGTATATTAATCAGCTTTTCGGTAAAATTTCAGATTTTGTCTCATGTAATAAGTTTAAAGAAGTTTCTTTAACTCAGTCTTTCACATATAAAACTATATTCTTAATATTTCATCCAAATAGTATTTTAGCTCATGGTTAATCCAACTCGTGAGGTTTCGTACTGAACAAAAATCATGTTGTCAGTGGCTTACTAATGTAGAAAAAAAATCTTATTCATACCTACCTCTGGTCTGAAAATTTTATTTTCGTATATGAAAAATGCATAAGTGTTACAAAAAATTGTAGTATCAAATAGGTCTTAGATAACCTAAATATTTATTTACTAGAGATGACATTTTCCATCGCATCAAAATATACAAGTAATCAAAAATAAGAGAAAATATGAAGTAATGTATTTGAACTTACACTTAACTCTGGGGAGGGAACAGCTGTTCCAACAGTGTTGTGGAACATTAAAGGATAATATTGTTTTCTTTCTCTTTTAGCAGACAATACAGTACTTGTGCTGAGTTTTATGGGAAGTTAACAGAGCTAGGATATATTGAGACCTTATTTTCACTAATGTCATACATTCCCCTTTGGTATTAGTGGATGTTTATCATGGTAATGTTGCTAGAGTGCTCCCTTGCCATCCCACCTGCAGATGCCCATGCTTGTGACGATATTGGAACTTCATAGTTCATAAGTTCAAAATTAGTTAAATTCCATCTTCAATGCCTGTAGTTCTATACATCAAAATTAATTTCTTATTCTATTTTTTATTTCTAAGACAGAAAAAAAGCAACTAAACAATCTTAATGGGTCACCTCAAATGTGTTAATCTCCTTTTAAAGTTTTTTTTAGGGTTTTGATGAAAATGCCCTCCTTTATTGTAAACATTGGAATGATTCAATAGAAAACTCTTTTCTCCATGAAAATCAGAAAGTATGTTTATACCAAGGAGTTTTGCAAAGGATGGTCACAGAGTGGGTTGTTGTGACTGTCGATCCCACTATTCAATTTAAGTGGCCCGAGAGTTGATGGTAGGTGATGTTGGCTAACTGCTTTCCCTATAGTTTATAACTTCCCAGTTAAAGATGGCTAGCACAGGTAGCCCTCAAATAGCTCAAGTAGCCAAAACTGTCAAGGGGAGAAGAGTTTTTGCTAAAAAATATTCAAAGTGGGGTTACACTTGACCTTTCTGCTCCTTGGTTAGGCACCTATTATTGTATGGTTTGTTTTATTGCATTCCAAAAAAAGTGTTGAATGAAATGGTTCTAAGATTATGTAGGTTTTGCAAATAAAATATTTTATTGTTATGTGTGATATTTGTATGAATTTGCAGCTTTGACAATTTGAAAAGATTTTATTGTGATGTTTTTTTTTTAAGAAGCAATTAAAAATGCTTACCTTTTTTGTATATTCAAATTATTGATTTGTATTTTCTGTTAAAACTTTCTTCAAAGCCTTATTTTAGAAACACAAAATTTTAACTTTGATTTGGTTTGAAGAACACTGCACCTAGTTTCACTGTGTTTTCGATCACTGGCATATATTAAAAGTAATGCTTTTACCATACCAAAAGTATAAGGAAACTATTTATTTTTGTTGTTGTTGTTAATCACAATGTTTAATGTAAATAATAACCCATTTTATATTCACTTGTATATTTTTTACACATTTTTTTTTTTATTGTTCATTCAAGAAGTTACTTTGGCCAATAAATACAGTCTAACAACAGTAGCCCTGTCAGTCAAAGGAAACTTGATACAGTGAATTGCTCATTTCAAATTCACTTGGCACACCTATATTATTTTAAAAGTTTTCAAGGAGTTATATACTTATAGGTTAGACATTGGTGAGCTAAAATGGAAATTTATAGCCTATACATTACTTTGTGGCTATTTAAGCCAGAAAAGTCAGACCCAAATGTGATGCCATACCCCTCCTGGTTTTCAAAAATGTTAATAAATTTTAAGGATTCCTATTTACTGAATGCGATGAATCTAGTAGCTGTTGGAATAACCAGTTTTGAAAGCTTCAGCAATCTGTTCTTTGTTTGCCAGCATTGGAACTCTGTTTGATCAGGTATGTGAATTATTTAACTAATTTCTTGAGATTGTACAAATGAAATCTGAAAAATGTATGATAAAAATATATATTTTTATTCTTAACTTGAAAATCACCTCTCGCTCAGACGTACTAAGTAAAAGCTTGGCTTATTCACAGACAAATCTTTCATAAAAATACCTTATTCAAACATCTGATTTTTTGTGTACAATAGCCTTGTAATGCTACT